ATAACATTTGCTTCCCTTTATAAAACCACACTTCTTTCGGCGTCCACCTACATGAAACAATATTTGTCTGTTTTAAATTAACTCTTAGACTCCACACATCTGCGCATCATTCAAAAATGTGGCTGCTCCTGTAATCCAGATATTGCGTCAGATACCAGAATGACATCATCAGCAAACTTAAGTAGCACGATATCTTACATGTCAGAAAAATCTTTCTGTAGATAATTCGATATGAAGAATGAAATAACAATGGACCTAGTATGCAGCCCTGCCTTAATCCAATAGGACACACAAAATAATCTGTACAAGTTTTGGTATTACTCATTACACATGTTTTTACAGAGAAATAAATACTGTTAAATAGCTTTAACTTTTTCCCATTTAATCAAGCTGAATACAGGCAGTGACAAATCTTAGGGAGATTTTCAGAGTCAAATGCCTTTCTAAAACCAAAGAAGGCAATAACAAATTATTTCTTCTTGGAAAATGTTTCTGAATAATTGCATGCAAAGGACAAAAATGATCTATCACCTGCGTCCTTCTTCCATTAAGCTGACAAGCCTGATATCACTGGAATACTGATAAAAGTGGCGTCAAACCAAACCCACTCACTCACTCTTAACTCACTCTTACCTGTCTCAGCTTAACCTCCATCAACAGAATTATGAGCTTTTTCAGTCTGAAGTCTACCTTCAAAGTAATTTGTCTCAAATCTAGCCACCTAAAATTTGCTTTTCTCAACTACACGTACATGTACCTTATATAACTCAATGTACCCGCCAAGGTGTAGGACGTGATAAGTACTTGCCAAGTTGTAGGGCGTGAGTGTACTCGTCAAGTTGTAGGGCGTGAGTGTACTCGTCAAGTTGTAGGGCGTGAGTGTACCCGCCAAGGTGTAGGACGTGATAAGTACTTGCCAAGTTGTAGGGCGTGAGTGTACTCGTCAAGTTGTAGGGCATGAGTGTACTCGTCAAGTTGTAGGGCATGAGTGTACCCGCCAAGGTGTAGGACGTGATAAGTACTTGCCAAGGTGTAGGGCGTGAGTGTACTCGCCAAGTTGTAGGGCATGAGTGTACTCGCCAAATTGTAGAGCGTGAGTGTACTCGCCACGGTGTTGGGCGTGAGTGTACTCGCCAAGTTGTAGAGCATGAGTGTACTCGCCAAATTGTAGAGCGTGAGTGTACTCGCCACGGTGTTGGGCAATAAATAACGTTTGGTGTCTGAAGTTCAACATTTAGAAGTTTCTGACATGACATTAAATTTATATATATTATATCTTGTCACATCATTTAGACCCTACAATTCAGAACCATATAATAAAATTGGTTGTATTTGTTTATCAAGGTGTTTTTAATGATACAGTCGACAATGTGAAGTTTGCTGAAGTAAACAATTACCTCCTTTATAACTTGTGTCGCTCTTGAAGCCAAATCTTCAATACATTTATTCATTGTTAAGGTACTAGAGGAAATAATTCCTAAATATGTATATGCATTTGAAGATAACATTTGCTTCCCTTTATAAAACCACACTTCTTTCGGCGTCCACCTACATGAAACAATATTTGTCTGTTTTAAATTAACTCTTAGACTCCACACATCTGCGCATCATTCAAAAATGTGGCTGCTCCTGTAATCCAGATATTGCGTCAGATACCAGAATGACATCATCAGCAAACTTAAGTAGCACGATATCTTACATGTCAGAAAAATCTTTCTGTAGATAATTCGATATGAAGAATGAAATAACAATGGACCTAGTATGCAGCCCTGCCTTAATCCAATAGGACAAGTTGTAGAGCATGAGTGTACTCGCCAAATTGTAGAGCGTGAGTGTACTCGCCACGGTGTTGAGCGTGAGTGTACTCGTCAAGTTGTAGGGCATGAGAATTCCTCGCCAAGGTGTAGGGCGTGAGTGTACTCGCAACGGTGTTGGGCGTGAGTGTACTCGCCAAGTTGTAGAGCGTGAGTGTACTCGCCAAGTTGTAGAGCGTGAGTGTACTCGCCACGGTGTTGGGCGTGAGTGTACTCGTCAAGTTGTAGGGCATGAGAAAGACTCGCCAAGGTGTTGGACGTGAGTGTACTCGTCAAGTTGTAGGGCATGAGAAGTACTCGCCAAGGTGTTGGACGTGAGTGTACTCGCCAAGGTGTTGGGCGTGAGTGTACTCGCCAAGTTGTAGGGCATGAGAAGTATTCGCTAAGGTGTAGGACGTGAGTGTACTCGCCAAGGTGTAGAGCGTGAGTGTACTCGCCACGGTGTTGGGCGTGAGTGTACTCGCCAAGTTGTAGGGCATGAGAAGTACTCGCCAAGTTGTAAGACGTGAGTGTACTCGCCACGGTGTTGGGCGTGAGTGGAACCGCAAAGTTGAAAGCGTGATTGTTCTCGCCACGGTGTTGGGCGTGAGTGTACCCGCCAAGTTGTAGGGCATGAGAAAGACTCGCCAAGGTGTAGGGCGTGAGTGTACTCCCTACGGTGTAGAGCGTGAGTGTACTCGTCAAGTTGTAGGGCATGAGAAGTGCTTGCCACGGTGTAGGGTGTGAGTGTACTCGCCAAGGTGTAGGGCGTGAGTGTACTCGTCAAGTTGTAGAGCGTGAGTGTACTCGCCAAGTTGTAGAGCGTGAGTGTACTCGCCAAGGTGTAGGGCGTTAGTGTACTCGTCAAGTTGTAGGGCATGAGAAGTACTCGCCAAGGTGTAGGGCGTGAGTGTACTCGCCACGGTGTTGGGCGTGAGTGTACTCGCCAAGTTGTAGGGCATGAGAAGTACTCGCCAAGTTGTAGAGCGTGAGTGTACTCGCCAAGGTGTTGGGCGTGAGTGTACTCGCCAAATTGTAGGGCATGAGAAGTACTCGCCAAGTTGTAGGGCGTGAGTGTACTCGCCACGGTGTTGGGCGTGAGTGTACTCGTCAAGTTGTAGGGCATGAGAAGTACTCGCCAAGGTGTAGGACGTGAGTGTACTCGCCACGGTGTAGAGCGTGAGTGTACTCGCCACGGTGTAGGGCGTGAGTGTACCCGCCAAGTTGTAGAGCGTGTGTGTACTCGCAAAGGTGTAGGGCGTGAGTGTACTCGCCAAGTTGTAGAGCGTGAGTGTACTCGCCAAGGTGTTGGACGTGAGTGTACTCACCACGGTGTTGGGCGTGAGTGTACCCGCCAAGGTGTAGGACGTGAGTGTACTCGCCAAGGTGTAGGACGTGAGTGTACTCACCACGGTGTTGGGCGTGAGTGTCCCGCCAAGTTGTAGAGCGTGATGTACTCGCCAAGTTATAGGACGTGAGTGTACTCGCCAAGTTGTAGGGCGTGAGTGTACTCGTCAAGATGTAGAGCGTGATGTACTCGCCAAGTTGTAGGACGTGAGTGTATTCGCCAAGTTGTAGGGCGTGAGTGTACTCGTCAAGTTTTAGGACGTGGGTGTACTCGCTAAGTTGTAGGACGCGAGTGTATTCGCCAAGGTGTAGCACGTGAACATACTCGCCAAGTTGTAGCACGTAAGTGTACTCGCCAAGTAGAAGCACGTGAGTGTACTCGCCAGGCTGTAGCACGTGAGTGTATTCGCCAAGACAAAGATTTTTCTGTAAAAGTGCAACGAGTCTGGGACATTCCATTGCCAGATAAAATACATGTATATAAATAGTGATGTGTATAATTCTAATTTACTGTAAGTGAAAGAGCTTTTCTAACCTTAGGTAAGGCATAAATTCAAGCATTATGATAATTCCGGCTGCACGAAATAGGCAGACAGTTTTATGTTGTTCTTTATTCAATTATGCCTGCCTCCAGCCCTCCGCCGCTGTCTTATCAGCATCATCCAGATCTAGCCTGCGGTCTTAACTGTTTACAAGTGTATATACAGCTTGCTTTGGTTAAGGCTCATAATCCAGAAGGATCAAATAAAATATCCAGTGTCACGTATTTCAGGAGCTAATATGCTATAATTTGCAGGTGCCGTGCTATAAACGGCGGTAGTTATCAACCTATGTAAAGCTAGCACCATGGGCCATAATTGACTCCATCACAGGTAGGTACCACCACAGCCTCCGTCGTCTAGTGGGGCCAACTCTTGCTCCCTGTGTTGGAGGTACCACCACATCCTCCCGTTGTCTAGTGAGGCCAACTCTTGCTCCCTGTGTTGGCGGTACCACCACTTCCTCCCGTTGTCTAGTGAGGCCAACTCTTGCTCCCTGTATTGGAGGTACCACCACTTCCTCCCGTTGTCTAGTGAGGCCAACTCTTGCTCCCTGTGTTGGCGGTACCACCACTTCCTCCCGTTGTCTAGTGAGGCCAACTCTTGCTCCCTGTATTGGAGGTACCACCACTTCCTCCCGTTGTCTAGTGAGGCCAACTCTTGCTCCCTGTATTGGCGGTACATCCACTTCCTCCCGTTGTTTAGTGAGGCCAACTCTTGCTCCCTGTGTTGGCGGTACCACCACTTCCTCCCGTTGTCTAGTGAGGCCAACTCCTGCTCCCTGTGTTGGAGGTACCGCCTCATCCTTCCGTTGTCTAGTAAGGCCAACTCTTGCTCCCTGTGTTGGAGGTACCGCCACACCATCCCGTTGTCTAGTAAGGCCAACTCTTGCTCCCTGTGTTGGAGGTACCGCCACACCATCCCGTTGTCTAGTAAGGCCAACTCTTGCTCCCTGTGTTGGAGGTACCGCCACATCCTCCCGTTGTCTAGTAAGGCCAAATCTTGCTCCCTGTGTTGGAGGTACCGCCACACCATCCCGTTGTCTAGTGAGGCCAACTCTTGCTCCCTGTGTTGGAGGTACCAAAACATCCTCCCGTTGTCTAGTGAGGCCAACTCTTGCTCCCTGTGTTGGAGGTACCAAAACATCCTCCCGTTGTCTAGTGAGACCAACTCTTGCTCCCAACTACATTCTGTATATATAATCTCTCCCCGTGTATACATTATTAAAGAAGAAACATGTCTTTATTTGCAGAAACGTACACTCTTATAGCTTGTGTCATAGTTGCACACCAATTATCTCCCTTTCTCTTTCTCGTTCTAGACTTCACATCTGTCGCCAAGATGCAGTTGTCATGCAGCCAGTTCCAACAACAAAAGCAGTGTGTGTTCCATACTACCAAAGGAGTTATCTACCTTGCAGAGGAAACAAGACAGGAGTGTGTCCACATATCAGGTGATGCACGCATGCACGCATGCACGCATGCACGCACCTTGAACCTTCTGGTCATACAGGACAGTTACTGACACGCATTGTATCTTCCATACAGGACAGTTACTGACACGCATTGTATCTTCCATACAGGACAGTTACTGACACGCATTGTATCTTCCATACAGGACAGTTACAGACACGCATTGTATCTTCCATACATGACAGTTACTGACACACCTTGTACCTTCCATACATGACAGTTACTGACACACCCTGTATCTTCTATACATGACAGTTACTGACACACCTTGTACCTTCCATACATGACAGTAACTGAGACACCTTGTACCTTCAATACATGACAGTTACTGACACACCTTGTACCTTCAATGCATGACAGTTACTGACACGCATTGTATCTTCCATGCATGCCAGTTACAGACACACCTTGTACCTTCCATACATGACAGTTACTGACACACCCTGTATCTTCTATAAATGACAGTTACTGACACACCTTGTACCTTCCATACATGACAGTAACTGAGACACCTTGTACCTTCAATACATGACAGTTACAGACACACCTTGTACCTTCCATACATGACAGTTACTGACACACCCTGTATCTTCTATAAATGACAGTTACTGACACACCTTGTACCTTCCATACATGACAGTAACTGAGACACCTTGTACCTTCCATACATGACAGTAACTGAGACACCTTGTACCTTCCATACATGACAGTGGCTGACACGCATTGTATCTTCAATACATGACAGTGACTGACACGCATTGTATCTTCTATACGTGACAGTTACTGACACACCTTGTATCTTCCATACAGGACAGTTACGTGCAACGTTCTGTTGTAGATTGTCGTACCGCGTGGAGATGAGGCGCATGATTGAGATGAGGCCCCACTATAATACCCGCTTCTCCTGCTGTCCGGGCTGGGCGGGATATGACGCCGAGGAAAACGCCTGCCTGGAATGTAAGTCATTGTGTCTACATACCGTGTCTCGATCTATTCATGACTTGTCCAAACCTGCTCACAACAAAATATCATGACCTGTATCAGGTTTCTCACGACATAATATCGTGTAAATGGTTTTGTTTTGGTTGATTTGGTTTGTCGATAGAATTGTATTTCAAGGGAGATCACTCGTGCTACCATGTCTGTCACCCATGCAGCACTTCTCTATCTTAGCTTACATCATCGTATATCGGGCGTCGCTATCTCTGTACAGACTATCTGACCCACACACATCAGGAGTGACTCTGTGCCCTGCGACACAATATATACCACTGGTTCATCATCTACAGGAGTGAGTCTGTACAATGCAACAATATATATACAGCTGGTTCGTCTACCTGAGTGACATTGTGTCCTGCAACACAATATATTCAGCTGGTTCATCTACAGGAGTGACTCTGTGCACAGCAACACAATATATACATCTGGTTCATCTACAGGAGTGACTCTGTACAATGCAACAATATATATACAGCTGGTTCGTGTACCTGAGTGACATTGTGTCCTTCAACACAATATATACATCTGGTTCATCTACAGGAGTGACTCTGTGCACAGCAACACAATATATACAGCTGGTTCATCTACAGGAGTGACTCTGTGCCCTGCAACACAATATATACAGCTGGTTCATCTACAGGAGGGACTCTGTGCACAGCAACACAATATATACAGCTGGTTCATCTACAGGAGTGACTCTGTGCCCTGCAACACAATATATACATCTGGTTCATCTACAGGAGTGACTCTGTGCACAGCAACACAATATATACATCTGGTTCATCTACAGGAGTGACTCTGTGCCCTGCAACACAATATATACAGCTGGTTCATCTACAGGAGTGACTCTGTGCACAGCAACACAATATATACATCTGGTTCATCTACAGGAGTGACTCTGTACAATGCAACAATATATATACAGCTGGTTCGTCTACCTGAGTGACATTGTGTCCTTCAACACAATATATACATCTGGTTCATCTACAGGAGTGACTCTGTGCACAGCAACACAATATATACAGCTGGTTCATCTACAGGAGTGACTCTGTGCCCTGCAACACAATATATACATCTGGTTCATCTACAGGAGGGACTCTGTGCACAGCAACACAATATATACATCTGGTTCATCAACAGGAGGGACTCTGTGCCCTGCAACATAAATATATACATCTGGTTCATCTACAGGAGGACTCTGTTCCCTGCAACACAAAATATACTGCTGGTTCATCTACAGGAGTGACTCTGTACAATGCAACAATATATATACAGCTGGTTGGTCTACCTGAGTGACATTGTGTCCTTCAACACAATATATACAGCTGGTTCATCTACAGGAGTTAGTCTGTGTCCTGCAAAACAATATATACAGCTGGTTCATCTACAGGAGTTAGTCTGTGTCCTGCAACACAATATATACATCTGGTTCATCTACAGGAGTGACTCTGTGCACAGCAACACAATATATACAGCTGGTTCATCTACAGGAGTGACTCTGTGCCCTGCAACACAATATATACATCTGGTTATTCTACAGGAGTGACTCTGTGCCCTGCAACACAATATATACAGCTGGTTTATCTACAGGAGTGACTCTGTGCCCTACAACACAATATATACAGCTGGTTCATCTACATGACTTAGTCTGTGTCCTGCAACACAATATATACAGCTGGTTCATCTACAGGAGTAACTCTGCGCCCTGCAACACAAAATATACTGCTGGTTCATCTACAGGAGTGACTCTGTGCCCTGCAAAACAATAAATACAGCTGGTCCATCTACAGGAGTGACTCTGTGTCCTGCAACACAATATATACATTCTGGTGCATCTACAGGATTGACTCTGTGCCCTACAACACAATATATACAAATGGTTCCTCTGCAGGAGTGACTTTGTGCCCTGCAACACAAAATATACAGCTGGTTCATCTACAGGAGTGACTCTGTGTCCTGCAACATAATATATACAGCTGGTTTATCTACAGGATTGACTCTTTGACTCGTCTACAGGAGTAACTCTGTGCCCTGCAACACAATATATACAGCTGGTTATCTACAGGATTGACTCTTTGACTCGTCTACAGGAGTGACTCTGTGCCCTGCAACACAATATATACAGCTGGTTCGACTAAAGAATGAGTCTGTACCTTACAACACAATATATACAGCTGGTTCATCTACAGGATTGACTCTTTGACTCGTCTACGGGAGTGACCCTGTGCCCTGCAACACAATATTAATATATACAGCTGGTTCGTCTACAGGAGTGAGTCTGTGCCCTACAACACAATATACACAGCTGGTTCATCTACAGGAATCAATCTGTGTCATACAACAACAATATATACAGATGGTTCGTTGATAGGAGTCTGCCTGTGTCCTGCAAGACAACATAATAATTATAATATATACACGTCGTCTAGGAAAGGGGGTCGTGAAGGTGTGCAAGCCTCTCATCTGAAAGGTTGCTTGGGGTATGGTGGGTGGGGCAGGGGGAGGGACCACGTCATAAGAGACATTGCAGACAGGGTTAGGGGGAGGGTGATGGTGGATGGGGGTACATGCCAAGCAGGGAGTTGGTCAGGTAATAAGACTGGGGATATTGGAATTAGGAGGTGGGTTTAAGGGGTAATTAACGCCACATATGTTATCATAATCATGCTGATTAATGAGCTTCACATGTATGTTGTGCACACGTAACCTGCTATCAGCCAGGGTCAAGAAGAGTTTGTTGTCATTACGCTAATTAGTTACTTAATGACGATAATGCACCAATGATCATTACACGCCACACAAGGACGCAGTGCCCTCTACAATCACACATACATGTTAAGCACTGGTGTATCACGTGTAACGATATATGCTGCGCCAGTAGGGGATCTGCAAACTGTGACAAACACACCAGTGCAGGACCCATCCTAACTGCCTCACCAGTGACACTTGACTCTCCCAACGGAGGAAAGACACCATGTTAACACTTGTAACTGGCAGATCGACATGTGCCTTCTGCATTTACGCGTTCATTGAAGGAAAATACTGAATTACACTTTTAGCTTTCATAAACCTGGCAAACATAATTGCCTGTAACGTCGGCTAATTGATAAGTTCTGAGCCTCTCATAGTAAGAATTGACATAAGGGCAGTATTATGATATAGTTTTCAACATAAGCCCCTTCCACGTTGATACGCTTTTGCCAACGATGTTGGAAGGATTAGTCCTCTTGGCTGTCCCAAAGGTTTTCACAGCTGCTTTGTCGTCATCGTTCCCCGAGTCAAAATGGGTTCTGGCTAGAGCTTTTTTCATCTTTGGGAAGAGATGGAAATCTGACGGAAATATATCAGGAGAATAACATGGAGTTTAAAGTCACACTCGTGGATTGAAGCCATGGCATTGACTGAATTGTGCACTGTCGCATTGTCCTGGTTGAAGAGCACCCCCATTTCTCAGCTTCCCTCTTCTCTTGGTCTTAATTTTATCTCGTAATTGCCGTTTATTGTCTGGCATTTAGGAAGATAGTCCCCCACGATGACACCATGGACATCCCAGAACAAGGAGGCCACACCCTTTGCAGCTGATGAGACAGCTTTTGCTGTCTTTGGTGGTGGTGATGTCAAAGTTTCCACTGTTTTAATCCCGTGAACATCCGGGGTAGAATAGGGCTTCAGCAACCCATGCTTGCCGTAAAAGGCGACTATGCTTGTCGTAAGAGACGACTAACGGGATCGGGTGATCAGGCTCGCTGACTTGGTCATCGTATCCCAACTGCGTGGGTCGATGCTCATGATGTCAATCACTGGATTGATCACTCGATTATTTACAGACCGCCGTCATATAGCTGGGATATTGCTGAGTGCGGCGTTAAACAACACAAACAAACTACATAGTTGAATGTATTTAGAGATGCGGCATCAGTCAGATTGCTTCGTCTACATTTGTTTTTCCCAGCTGTCTGCATCCCCGCGTGTCAACATGGCGGCAAATGTCACGTGCTTAATACGTGCAACTGTGATGAAGGATGGAGTGGCAGTTCTTGTCAATCTGGTGAGTTCTTCAGACTGATTCCTCATGTAAGTGTATATCATTACTCATGTGTATCAATATTAAGTCCATCGCATCGCGTATAAATACAAGACTGTAATGCATGTATTCATCATTTAACTAAAGCGTGTATCCATTACATAAATACACATGAATGACATAGGTATGCAAATTAGATGACCGGAAACGGCGCTTTTTTCACTGAGATGACACCTTTTCACTGAAACCGCGCTTTTTTTCACTGAAACGGCACTTATTTCACTGAAATGACACTTTTTTCACTGCAGCGACACTTATTTCACTAAAACGGCGCTTTGTTTCACTGAACGGCACCTTTTTCACTGAAACGCCAATTTTGTTAACTTAAACGGCGCTTTTTTTTCACTGAAACGGCGCTTTTTTCGCTGAAATGACACATTTTTCACTGCAGCGACACTTTTTTTCACTGAAACGGCACTTGTTTCACACCAATACCTCTTCGAATGATAACGAGTTGTGTTACATCGGTACATGGTTTCAGCTTGCCTAAAACTTTTGGCCAATGCTTGCCGGAAATCGTACTGAGAACGTCAAACCATCCACTGCTGAAAACCGGCCAATCTGTAGACGTCAACACCACTTACAAAGCGCTTTGCGCTCCACCAAATCAAAACACGCAGATAATTGGTTACAATAACCATTCTGTGAATAATTACTGTCTCAGACATCCATCTAAGCACAAACAAACATCTAAAATAATGTCAGGAACACAATAACACCCAAGTTTGGTTTGTTCCTTAAACTGTCTAAAACATAACCATTAAGGTTGTTATACCTCCAAGTCCAGTTCCAGCCCAACGACATCTGCTTCGAAAGTGACGTTGTCGCCGACTTAAATTTACTGTTGTGACCTATCCGCCCTCATGACGCTCCACAAGTGATAGCGACATGCCTGTAACGTGTCTGTATGTTTCGGTAGGACATGCCTGTAACGTGGCTGAATGTTTCTGTAGGACATGCCTGTAACGTGCCTGCATGTATCTGTAGGACATGCCTGTAACGTGTCTGTATGTTTCGGTAGCACATGCCTGTAACGTGTCTGAATGTTTCTGTAGGACATGCCTGTAACGTGTTTGTATGTTTCGGTAGCACATGCCTGTAACGTGGCTGAATGTTTCTGTAGGACATGCCTGTAACATGGCTGAATGTTTCTGTAGGACATGCCTGTTACGTGTCTGTATGTTTCTCAAGAACATGTCTGTAACGAGGCTGTGTGTTTCTCAAGGACATGCCTGTAACGTGTCTGTATTTTTCTCAAGAACATGTCTGTAACGAGGCTGTGTGTTTCTTAAGAACATGTCTGTAACGTGTCTGTATTTTTCTCAAGAACATGTCTGTAACGAGGCTGTGTGTTTCTTAAGAACATGCCTGTAACGTGTCTGTATGTTTCGCGAGAACATGTCTGTAACGAGGCTGTGTGTTTCTTAAGAACATGCCTGTAACGTGTCTGTATGTTTCTCAAGAACATGTCTGTAACGTGTCTGTATGTTTCCCAAGGACATGTCTGTAATGTGTCTGTATGTTTCCCAAGGACATGTCTGTAACGAGGCTGTGTGTTTCTCAAGGACATGTCTGTAACGTGTCTGAATGTTTCTGTAGGACATGCCTGTAACGTGTCTGTATGTAACTGTAGGACAAGCCTGCAACGTGGCTGAATGTTTCTGTAGGACATACCTGTAACGTGTCTGTATGTTTCTGTAGCACATGCCTGTAACGTGTCTGAATGTTTCTGTAGGACATGCCTGTAACATGTCTGTATGTTTCTGTATGACATGCCTGTAACGTGGCTGAATTTTTCTGTAGGACATGCCTGTAACGTGGCTGAAAGTTTCTGTAGGACATGCCTGTAACGTGTTTGTATGTATCTGTAGGACATGCCTGTAACGTGTATGTATGTATCTGTAGGACATGCCTGTAACATGTCTGCATGTATCTGTAGGACATACCTGTAACGTGGCTGACTGTTTCTGTAGGACATGCCTGTAACATGTCTGAATGTTTCTGTAGGACATGCCTGTAACGTGTTTGTATGTTTCGGTAGGACATGCCTGTAACGTGGCTGAATGTTTCTGTAGGACATGCCTGTAACGTGTCTGTATGTTTCGGTAGCACATGCCTGTAACGTGTCTTAATGTTTCTGTAGGACGTGCCTGTAACGTGGCTGTATGTTTCTGTAGGACATGCCTGTAACGTGTCTGTATGTTTCTGTAGGACATGCCTGTAACGTGGCTGAATGTTTCTGTAGGACATGCCTGTAACGTGGCTGAAAGTTTCTGTAGGACATACCTGTAACGTGTCTGTATGTTTCTGTAGGACATGCCTGTAACATGTCTGCATGTATCTGTAGGACATACCTGTAACGTGGCTGACTGTTTCTGTAGGACATACCTGTAACGTGGCTGAATGTTTCTGTAGGACATGCCTGTAACATGTCTGTATGTTTCTGTAGGACATGCCTGTAACGTGTCTGAATGTTTCTGTAGGACATGCCTGTAACGTGGCTGAATGTTTCTGTATGACATGCCTGTAACGTGTTTGTATGTTTCTGTAGGACATGCCTGTAACGTGGCTGAAAGTTTCTGTAGGACATGCCTGTAACGAGGCTGTGTGTATCTGTAGGACATACCTGTAACGTGGCAGACTGTTTCTGTAGGACCTACCTCTTATGTGGCTGACTGTTTCTGTAGGACATGCCTGTAACGCGTCTGTATGTACCTCAAGAACATGTCTGTAACGAGGCTGTGTGTTTCTCAAGGACATGCCTGTAACGTGTCTGTATTTTTCGCGAGAACATGTCTGTAACGAGGCTGTGTGTTTCTTAAGAACATGCCTGTAACGTGTCTGTATGTTTCTCAAGAACATGTCTGTAACGAGGCTGTGTGTTTCTTAAGAACATGCCTGTAACGTGTCTGTATGTTTCTCAAGAACATGTCTGTAACGAGGCTGTGTGTTTCTTAAGAACATGCCTGTAACGTGTCTGTATGTTTCGCGAGAACATGTCTGTAACGAGGCTGTGTGTTTCTCAAGGACATGTCTGTAACGAGGCTGCATGTTTCTCAAGAACATGTCTGTAACGAGGCTGTATGTTTCCCAAGGACATGTCTGTAACGAGGCTGTGTGTTTCTCAAGAACATGTCTGTAACGTGTCTGTATGTTTCCCAAGGACATGTCTGTAATGTGTCTAGTTTCCCAAGGACATGTCTGTAACGAGGCTGTGTGTTTCTCAAGGACATGTCTGTAACGTGTCTGAATGTTTCTGTAGGACATGCCTGTAACGTGTCTGTATGTATCTGTAGGACAAGCCTGCAACGTGGCTGAATGTTTCTGTAGGACATGCCTGTAACATGTCTGTATGTTTCGGTAGGACATGCCTGTAACGTGTCTGTATGTATCTGTAGGACATGCCTGTAACGTGTCTGTATGTTTCAGAATATAATTAAATCTGTAGGACATGCCTGTAACGTGACTGAATGTTTTTGTAGGACATGCCTGTAACGTGTCTGTATGTTTCTGTAGGACATGCCTGTAACGTGCCTCTTTGTTTCTGTAGGACATGCCTATAACATATCTTTATCTTTCTGAAGGACATACCTGTAACGTGTCTGTATGTTTCTAGAGGTCTTGTCTGTAACGTGGCTGAATGGTTCTGTAGGACATGCCTGTAACGTGTCTATTTGTTTCTGAAGGACATGCCTGTAACGTGTCTGTATGTTTCTAGAGCTCGTGTCTGTAACGTTTCTGTATGTTTCGCGAGGACATGCCTATAACAAATATCTGTATGTTTCTGTAGGAGATGCCTGTAACGTGTCTGTATGTGTCTTTAGGACATGCCTGTAACATGTCTGAATGTTTCTGAAAGACATGCCTGTAATGTGTCTGTATGTTTCGCGAGAACATGTGTGTAACGAGGCTGTGTGTTTCTTAAGAACATGCCTGTAACATGTCTGTATGTTTCTCAAGAACATGTCTGTAACGTGTCTGTATGTTTCCCAAGGACATGTCTGTAATGTGTCTGTATGTTTCCCAAGGACATGTCTTTCACGAGGCTGTGTGTTTCTCAAGAACATGTCTGTAACGTACCTGTATGTTTCCCAAGAACATGTCTGTAATGTGTCTGTATGTTTCCCAAGGACATGTCTTTCACGAGGCTGTGTGTTTCTCAAGAACATGTCTGTAACGTGTCTGTATGTTTCCCAAGGACATGTCTGTAATGTGTCTGTATGTTTCCCAAGGACATGTCTTTCACGAGGCTGTGTGTTTCTCAAGAACATGTCTGTAACGTGTCTGTATGTTTCCCAAGGACATGTCTGTAATGTGTCTGTATGTTTCCCAAGGACATGTCTGTAATGTGTCTGTATGTTTACCAAGGACATGACTTTCACGAGGCTGTGTGTTTCTCAAGAACATGTCTGTAACGTGTCTGTATGTTTCCAAAGGACATGTCTGTAATGTGTCTGTATGTTTCCCAAAGACATGTCTTTCACGAGGCTGTGTGTTTCTCAAGGACATGTCTGTAATGTGTCTGTATGTTTCCCAAGGACATGTCTGTAATGTGTCTGTATGTTTCCCAAGGTCATGTCTTTCACGAGGCTGTGTGTTTCTCAAGAACATGTCTGTAACGTGTCTGTATGTTTCCAAAGACATGTCTGTAACGTGTCTGTATGTTTCCAAAGACATGTCTGTAACGTGTCTGTATGTTTCTCAAGGACATGTCTGTAATGTGTCTGTATGTTTCCCAAGGACATGTCTTTCACGAGGCTGTGTGTTGTTTCAGACGTTGACGAATGCCGGAGCAAGCCCTGTGAGCAGAGATGCGTCAACAGTGACGGGAGCTACCACTGCGAGTGTCACCATGGTTACCACCTCTCCGGGGACGGCCGCACCTGCACTTGTGAGTACGTGGACATCATCGTGTCCTTTTATTTCCAGTAAATTTTCAAATATAATATACACTGGTACACACAGACCCGCATGACCATGTTTATACGTTAGTCTGTAGTTCACACAGGTACACACAGACCCGTATGACCATGTTGATACGTGAGTCTGTAGTTCACACAGGTACACACAGACCCGCATGACCATGTTTATACGTGAGTCTGTAGTTCACACAGGTTCACACATGACCCGTATGGCCATGTTTATACGTGAGTCTGTAGTTCACACAGGTACACACAGACCCGCATGACCATGTTTATACGTGAGTCTGTAGTTCACACAGGTTCACACATGACCCGTATGGCCATGTGATGTTTGCATGTGTAGTTCCTACGGGTACAAACAGGCCTACATGGCCGTGTTGATACTTGAGTCTGTATTTTACACAGGTACACACAGACCCGTATGACCATGTTGATACTTGAGTCTGTAGTTCACACAGGTACACACAGACCCGTATGACCATGTTGATACTTGAGTCTGTAGTTCACACAGGTACACACAGACCCGCATGACCATGTTTATACGTGAGTCTGTAGTTCACACAGGTACACACAGACCCGCATGACCATGTTTATACGTGAGTCTGTAGTTCACACAGGTACTTACAGACCCATATGACCATGTTTATACGTGAGTCTGTAGTTCACACAGGTACACACAGACCCGCATGACCATGTTTATACGTGAGTCTGTAGTTCACACAGGTTCACACATGACCCGTATGGCCATGTTTATACGTGAGTCTGTAGTTCACACAGGTACACACAGACCCGCATGACCATGTTTATACGTGAGTCTGTAGTTCACACAGGTTCACACATGACCCGTATGGCCATGTGATGTTTGCATGTGTAGTTTCTACGGGTACAAACAGGCCTACATGGCCGTGTTGATACTTGAGTCTGTATTTTACACAGGTACACACAGACCCGTATGACAATGTTGATACTTGAGTCTGTAGTTCACACAGGTACACACAGACCCGCATGACCATGTTTATACGTGAGTCTGTAGTTCACACAGGTACACACAGACCCGCATGACCATGTTGATACGTGAGTCTGTAGTTCACACAGGTACACACAGACCCGCATGACCATGTTTATACGTGAGTCTGTAGTTTACACAGGTACACACAGACCCGTATGACCATGTTTATACGTGAGTCTGTAGTTCACACAGGTACACACAGACCCGCATGACCATGTTTATACGTGAGTCTGTAGTTCACACAGGTTCACACATGACCCGTATGGCCATGTGATGTTTGCATGTGTAGTTCCTACGGGTACAAACAGGCCTACATGGCCGTGTTGATACTTGAGTCTGTATTTTACACAGGTACACACAGACCCTCAGACCATGTTGATACTTGAGTCTGTAGTTTACACAGGTACACACAGACCCTCAGACCATGTTGATACTTGAGTCTGTAGTTCCTAAAGGTACTTACAGCCCCATATGTTGATTTTTTATTCTGTAATTCATATATACGGGTGCAAAGAGACCATAATATGCTTGTGTCGATGTTTGAATCTGTAGTTTTATGGGGATAAATAGATCCATATGATTGTGTTGATGTTTACATATGTAGTTCATGTGGGTACAAAGAGACCCATAAGCCGTGTTGATGTTTGAATCTGTAGTTCCTACAGGTATAGAAACCTACATGGTTGTTGATGTTTCAGTCTGTCTGTCCTGCACAGTTGAGTTCACGACCATGTTACAAGACCAGAAGCATCTCACGCAGACCGTCAACATCATACATGTCGACAATGTAAGTTACAGCGCTGCTACACAAGCTAGACGTTACTTTATGTCGACAATGTAAGTTACAGCCCTTGTACATAAGATGGACGTCACTTTATGTCGACAATGTAAGTTACAGCCCTTGTACATAAGATGGACGTCACTTTATGTCGACAATGTAAGTTACAGCCCTTGTACATAAGATGGACGTCACTTTATGTCGACAATGTAAGTTACAGCCCTGGTACACAAGATGGACGTCACTTTATGTCGACAATGTAAGTTACAGCCCTTGTACATAAGATGGACGTCACTTGATGTCGACAATGTAAGTTACAGCCCTTGTACATAAGATGGACGTCACTTGATGTCGACAATGTAAGTTACAGCCCTGGTACACAAGATGGACGTCACTTTATGTCGACAATGTAAGTTACAGCCCTTGTACATAAGATGGACGTCACTTTATGTCCACAATGTAAGTTACAGCCCTGGTACACAAGATGGACGTCACTTGATGTCGACAATGTAAGTTACAGCCCTGGTACACAAGATGGACGTCACTTTATGTCGACAATGTAAGTTACAGCCCTGGTACACAAGATGGACGTCACTTTATGTCGACAATGTAAGTTACAGCCCTTGTACATAAGATGGACGTCACTTTATGTCGACAATGTAAGTTACAGCCCTTGTACATAAGATGGACGTCACTTTATGTCGACAATGTAAGTTACAGCCCTTGTACATAAGATGGACGTCACTTTATGTCCACAATGTAAGTTACAGCCCTGGTACACAAGATGGACGTCACTTTATGTCGACAATGTAAGTTACAGCCCTGGTACACAAGATGGACGTCACTTTATGTCGACAATGTAAGTTACAGCCCTGGTACATAAGATGGACGTCACTTTATGTCGACAATGTAAGTTACAGCCCTGGTACATAAGATGGACGTCACTTTATGTCGACAATGTAAGTTACAGCCCTGGTACACAAGATGGACGTCACTTTATGTCGACAATGTAAGTTACAGCCCTTGTACATAAGATGGACGTCACTTTATGTCGACAATGTAAGTTACAGCCCTTGTACATAAGATGGACGTCACTTTATGTCGACAATGTAAGTTACAGCCCTGGTACACAAGATGGACGTCACTTTATGTCCACAATGTAAGTTACAGCCCTGGTACATAAGATGGACGTCACTTTATGTCGACAATGTAAGTTACAGCCCTGGTACACAAGATGGACGTCACTTGATGTCGACAATGTAAGTTACAGCCCTTGTACATAAGATGGACGTCACTTTATGTCGACAATGTAAGTTACAGCCCTGGTACACAAGATGGACGTCACTTTATGTCCACAATGTAAGTTACAGCCCTTGTACATAAGATGGACGTCACTTTATGTCGACAATGTAAGTTACAGCCCTTGTACATAAGATGGACGTCACTTTATGTCGACAATGTAAGTTACAGCCCTTGTACATAAGATGGACGTCACTTTATGTCGACAATGTAAGTTACAGCCCTTGTACATAAGATGGACGTCACTTTATGTCGACAATGTAAGTTACAGCCCTGGTACATAAGATGGACGTCACTTTATGTCGACAATGTAAGTTACAGCCCTTGTACATAAGATGGACGTCACTTTATGTCGACAATGTAAGTTACAGCCCTGGTACACAAGATGGACGTCACTTTATGTCGACAATGTAAGTTACAGCCCTTGTACATAAGATGGACGTCACTTTATGTCGACAATGTAAGTTACAGCCCTTGTACATAAGATGGACGTCACTTTATGTCGACAATGTAAGTTACAGCCCTGGTACATAAGATGGACGTCACTTTATGTCGACAATGTAAGTTACAGCCCTTGTACATAAGATGGACGTCACTTTATGTCGACAATGTAAGTTACAGCCCTGGTACACAAGATGGACGTCACTTTATGTCGACAATGTAAGTTACAGCCCTGGTACACAAGATGGACGTCACTTTATGTCGACAATGTAAGTTACAGCCCTTGTACATAAGATGGACGTCACTTTATGTCGACAATGTAAGTTACAGCGCTGGTACACAAGATGGACGTCACTTGATGTCGACAATGTAAGTTACAGCCCTTGTACATAAGATGGACGTCACTTGATGTCGACAATGTAAGTTACAGCGCTGGTACACAAGATGGACGTCACTTTAAGTCGACAATGTAAGTTACAGCCCTGGTACACAAGATGGACGTCACTATATGTCTATAATGAAGTTACAGCCCTGCTACACAAGCTGGGCATCACTATATCTCGACAATTTAAGTAGATTGTATTTTAACTTTCCAGGATATACTGACGATGAACGTAACCAAGCTTCACAAAGATTTGCGGACACTGTCAACATTCCCAACTTCCCAGCCCACCCAGGAGCTACCACGCCCTCCTAGCTCAGCCACACCCTCCCCCGAGCAGCAGGTGCCGGATGCGGCCAAAATAAACACCTATTTGTCATCCCTGAGTGAACAGATCGCTATGCTGGAGGAGAGACTGGATGTCTGTAAGTTGGGGGTACAGGCATGTTCGCAATGGACTGGAATTGTGCATGGAAGGGTGGGTAGCGAAGGATATGCAGGTGGGCGATAGGTGCTGGGTAGGTGTTATAGATTGGTGGTTTAGTGGACTGATGTATTGATAGATGGTCGGATGTATTGATAGATAGTCGGATGGATAGGTAGGTGAGTGGTGGGCTGGTACATGGGTGGATGGTTAGATGGGTGGGTGGGTGTTGAGTTGGTGGATGGTAGATGGGTGGGTGGGTGGTGGGTTGGTACAGGGATGGGCGCATAGATGGTTTGGTGGGTGGGTGGGTGTTGAGTTGGTGGATGGTTAGATGGGTGGGTGGGTGGTGGGTTGGTACAGGGATGGGCGCATAGATGGTTTGGTGGGTGGGTGGGTGGGTGGTGGGCTGGTACATGGGAGGAAGGATAGTTGGGTGGGTGGAGGGTGGGTTGGTTCATATATGGACGCATAGATGGGTGGGTGGGTGGTGGATGGGTTGGTACATGGATGGACGCATAGACGGGTTGGTGTTGGGTTGGTACATGGATGGACGCATAGATGGGTTGGTGTTGGGTTGGAACATGGATGGACGCATAGATGGGTTGGTGTTGGGTTGGAACATGGATGGGCGCATAGATGGGTTGGTGTTGGGTTAGTACATGGATGGACGCATAGATGGGTTGGTGTTGGGTTGGAACAGGGATGGGCGCATAGATGCGTGGGTGGTGGGCAGGTTGGTTGGTTGGTACATGGGTAGATAAATACTTTTGTCCTGCATATATACTCCCACACAACCTGACCTGCACAAATACTCTCCATCTTTTTCCAGGTACATGTACCCAGCAGTCACGCCAGATGACGGCGATGCCCGGGCCCCGTGCGAGATCCAAACTTCGACACGGCTAGATAGATGTGGCCAGTGATCGGACCTCAGCCCCACCTCAGCAGAGAGGTCGTATGTTGCCGCCGAACGTTGGGCTTCATCTTGAGATAGTGACTCATATGTGACAGCGTGACTTTTCAGATAGTAAATATCTATAGTGATATAGTGATCTATTTGTTTCTTCTTTCTTATGAACGCATATCATGCATACACATATAACTATTTATTGACTGATTGAGTGAATGTTTGGTTGGCTGGTTGGTTGGCTGGTTGGTTGGTTGGTTGATTGCTTGATGCAAGTAGTCCCCAGTGAAATTGTCAGCATGGGACAAGTATATGATGTAATCTACATCTGTGTGTAAGAATATCAGGTATATTGACGTACATACATCATGTATTATTTCGGACATGCACATGTCCACGTGACGTACTCAGTCACAGACATGTATAATGCTGGACGTCCACGTGACGTACTCACAGACGCGTACAACACACACATGCCGATGTTCACGGTGTCAATGTTTAGGCCAGGATTACTATCCTCAATGTTCTGGAATGTCCTATCATTGTATGAACGTGGGCGTAAACGTTCGAAATAGAGTCCTACGGATCGGGAAAGGTTCAGAGAGGTCGACCAAGCATTCCCGACAGTAAGGTGCGTCCCGTAACATTCTGGAAACTCCGATTTTGTCTGGTCGGATTACAATCGTGACTATGTCGTGGCAGATTCTGCTGTATCGGATCAAAATCGTAACAATTTCCTGTGTTGTCGGGACGGTGTCCTGTGATCGGGACGCTGTTGTGATGTACGGGCATGAATTGTTCGTTGCCGTTTCTTGTCGATTGAGTCCAGATTGCCGAACTCGAACCGTCTTTGTCGGTTCACTGTCCTGTCACTGTCTGATCTCTGTCGGATCGCATTCGGGAGAATCGGGACGCTGTCGGGACAGATTCGGTCGTTGTGTACCATGCGGAATATACAAATCGGATCAGATTTCGATTGAGAACGGGAGAGTCGGTACGAATTCGGCTGGAAACGGCTGAATCGGGACGCTTCCTGAACAATATCTGATTGTTTGTGAATTTCCCGCAACCAATCACTGGATCTTGATCAGACTTTTGACAAATTTAAATCGGGAATGGTCCTATCAAGAACGGCAGTAAAAATCCTGAACGTGTGACTGAGCCCTGATAATGGCATGGCATGAGGCACCCATCACTAGTGCGGGTTGGAGTTGGTCGTCAGCAACCCATGCTTGTCGTAAGAGGCGACTATTCTTGTCGTAAGAGGCGACTTTTCTTGTCGTAAGAGGCGTCTATTCTTGTCGTAAGAGGCGACTATTCTTGTCGTAAGAGGCGACTATTCTTGTCGTAAGAGGCGACTATTCTTGTCGTAAGAGGCGACTAACGGGATAGGGTGTTGCGTAGGAATTGCGTAGATCTATATCAATAATGAAAGTCGATCACTGAATTGTCTGGCCCAGACCGCCGTCATATAGCTGTAATATTGGTGAGCTTGCGTTAAACAGCAAACAAACAAACAAAACAAACAAAACAAACAAACAAAACAGATACACTGACATGAAGAACACGAACTGACATGATCATAGAATGTTTGTCGCGCTGGCTATCCTCCATCAAGCAAATTGAATTTCACGAATGGCACTTTACATCTATCAGACAACGCCATGCGTTCCATGATCTACCTCTCATTCGGATTCCTGTATGTCAGTAGACTGCAGCCGCCTGTATATCGTCCTAATATAACCACCTGGTAAGGTCCGCTACACACGTGTGTGGGAGTCAAGAACGTTTTGTCATGGAGTCAACGATGTATTGTGAGACTGCTACGTCAATCCACTGATAAAGGCTAGCCTGCTATATTTATATACCTAGTAGAAACATTGTCTTTAAATAACTCCCTTTTCCGCTCCGGACGTAAATCTGGCCTGGTTATTTCGGCGATTGCCAAAACGAGGCTTGCCACACACACACCTGGTCTGCAGGCCGGGGGCAGGATATTCACTTCATAACTCTCACATTATTACATGAAAAATATGTTCAAAGAACTTTCATTATCCTTCCCCTCGTCTTTCCATCACCCAACCTGACCCCCCAGCCCGCTCCCGGAGCTTTGCCTCACATGTGGACGTACGGCTGTCCGTGTTGCTTCCCCACACATTCATCCTCTTTGAACTGATGTATGATGACAGCTGCGCAAGCTGAACAGCCAAAACCGGAAGTGAGTTCAGAACCCACAGTACGTCCCCGGGGACCTCTGTGACGTAACAGATAGACAGGTGTTAAGCCATGGTGACAGACTGACATGTATTTAAGCCATTGTGACAGATTGACATGTATTTAAGCCATTGTGACAGACTGACATGTATTTAAGCCATTGTGACAGACTGACATGTATTTAAGTCATTGTGACAGACTGACATGTATTTAAGTCATTGTGACAGCCTTACATGTATTTAAGCCATTGTGACAGACTGACGTGTATTTAAGCCATTGTGACAGACTGACATGTATTTAAGCCAGTGTGACAGACTGACGTGTATTTAAGCCATGGTGACAGATTGACATGTATTTAAGCCATTGTGACAGACTGACATGTATTTAAGTCATTGTGACAGACTGACATGTATTTAAGCCATGGTGACAGACTGACATGTATTTAAGCCATGGTGACAGACTTACATGTATGTAAGTCATTGTGACACACTTACATGTATTTAGGCGATAGTGGCAGACTGACATTTATTTAAGCCATTGTGACAGACTGACGTGTATTTAAGTCATGGTGACAGACTGACATGTATTTAAGCCATGGTGACAGACTGACATGTATTTAAGCCATTGTGACAGACTGACGTGTATTTAAGCCATTGTGACAGACTGACATGTATTTAAGCCAGTGTGACAGACTGACGTGTATTTAAGCCATGGTGACAGATTGACATGTATTTAAGCCATTGTGACAGACTGACATGTATTTAAGTCATTGTGACAGACTGACATGTATTTAAGCCATGGTGACAGACTGACATGTATTTAAGCCATGGTGACAGACTTACATGTATGTAAGTCATTGTGACACACTTACATGTATTTAGGCGATAGTGGCAGACTGACATTTATTTAAGCCATTGTGACAGACTGACGTGTATTTAAGTCATGGTGACAGACTGACATGTATTTAAGCCATGGTGACAGACTGACATGTATTTAAGCCATTGTGACAGACTGACGTGTATTTAAGTCATGGTGACAGACTGACATGTATTTAAGTTATGGTGACAGACTGACGTGTATTTAAGCCATTGTGACAGACTGACATGTATTTAAGCCATGGTGACAGACTGACGTGCATTTAAGCCATGGTGACAGACTTACATGTCTTCAAGCCGTGGAGACGAGCCTGTTTCACATATCTTCAGCGAACTAGCCGTGGAGGCGAGCGTTTGTGACATTCAAAGAGTTCAGACAGCTCTCTACATGTACATGACTGAAATACCCGTGTTTAACAATCCTCTTTGTGGGTTCTGAGGATCTATGTATTTAATAGCCCTCTGTATTCAGCTCTGGGATACACGTGTTTGACAACACTCTGTTTGGGTTCCGAGATATATGTATTTAACAGCTCTCTGTATTCAGCTCTTGGATACACGTGTTTGACAACCATCTATGTGGGCTCTGAGATATATGTATTTGACAGCTCTCTGTGTACAGTTCTAAGAGATACGTGTTTGACAAACCGTTGTGTGTACAACTCATGGATACACGTGTTTGACAACCACCTGTGTGTTCAGCTCTGGGATGCATGTGTCTGACAACCCTCTGTGTTTACAGCTCTGGGATACAAGTGTATGACAACCATGTGTTTACAGCTCTGGGATACACGTGCATGACAACCACCTATGTTTACAGCTCTGGGATACACGTGCATGACAACCCTCTGTGTTTACAGCTCTGGGATACACGTGTTTGACAACCCTCCGTTTTTACAGCTCTGGGATACACGTGCATGACAACCACCTGTTTTTACAGCTCTGTGATACACGTGTTTGACAATTCTCTGTGTTTACAGCTCTGAGATACGTGTGTTTGACAACCATCTGTGTGTACAGCTCTGTGATACACGTGTTTGACAACCCTCTGTGTTCCACTCTGAGATACACGTGTTTGACAACCCTCTGTGTGTACAGCTCTATGGTACATGTGATTGACAAATACATCATACTGTAATGTGGAAACCTAGGTGGGACATTGTCGCTTTGTCGCCCTCACAAAAACAAGTAAAACGTTTCAAACCTATTAAAAGCGCGACAATACGACAACACGACAACACGACAATACGACAACACGACAAATATCGCGTTGTCGAATTGTGGTGCTTTGGTTTTTAATTTTGACACCGTTTGCTTGTTTGGGTGACAATACGACAAAGCGACAATGTCCCTTTCTAGGATTCCATATATTATCCAGGACAGGATGTGACAGGTCTGCATGATACTGCATGCAATGCATAGGGCATGGGTGAGATGGTGACAATGCTTGACATATAATTAACGTAGTATGATTACACTGTTTGACCAGAGGGAACCCTGCATGACTGTGCGCACACAGAGTGCTCCATCATTGTATGAATAGCAGGTTTGACGTAGATGGTTTGTGGACAGGGGGAAGCTATTTCACATCAACCCTCTCAACTTCCATCAACCTTCTCAACGTTCCATCAACCCTGTCAACGTTCCATCAACCCTCTCAACGTTCCATCAACCTTCTCAACGTTCCATCAACCTTCTCAACGTTCCATCAACCTTTCTCAATGTTCCATCAATACTCCCAATGTTCCAAATGTGCTATCAACCTTCTCAACGTTTCATCAACCCTCTCAACGTTTCATCAACCTTCTCAACGTTCCATCAACCCTCTCAACGTTCCATCAACCTTCTCAACGTTCCATCAACCCTCTCAACGTTCCATCAACCCTCTCAACGTTCCATCAACCCTTTCAACGTTCCAACAATACTCTCAACGTTCCACCAACCCTCTCAACGTTCCATCAACCTTCTCAACGTTCCATCAACCTTCTCAACGTTCCATCAACCTTTCTCAATGTTCCATCAATACTCCCAATGTTCCAAATGTGCTATCAACCTTCTCAACGTTTCATCAACCCTCTCAACGTTTCATCAACCTTCTCAACGTTCCATCAACCCTCTCAACGTTCCATCAACCTTCTCAACGTTCCATCAACCCTCTCAACGTTCCATCAACCCTCTCAACGTTCCATCAACCCTTTCAACGTTCCAACAATACTCTCAACGTTCCACCAACCCTCTCAACGTTCCACCAACCTTCTCAACATTCCATCAACCCTCTCAACGTTCCACCAACCTTCTCAACGTTCTACCAACCCTCTCAACGTTCCATCAACCTTCTCAACGTTCCATCAACCTTCTCAACGTTCCATCAACCTTCTCAACGTTCCATCAACCCTCTCAACTTTCCATCAACCTTCTCAACGTTCCATCAACCTTCTCAACGTTCCATCAACCCTCTCAACGTTCCACGAACCCTCTCAACGTTCCACCAACCCTCTCAATGTTCCACCAACCTTTCTCAACGTTCCATCAACCTTCTCAACGTTCCATCAACCCTCTCAATGTTCCACCAACCTTCTCAAAGTTCCATCAACCATCTCAACGTTCCACCAACCTTTCTTTACGTTCCATCAATACTCTCAATGTTCCCAATGTGCCATCAACCTTCTCAACGTTCCATCAACCCTCTCAACGTTCCACCAACCTTTCTTTACGTTCCATCAATACTCTCAATGTTCCCAATGTGCCATCAACCTTCTCAACGTTCCATCAACCCTCTCAACGTTCCATCAACCTTTCACAACCTTCCATCAATATTCTCAATGTTCCAAGCGTGCCATCAACCCTCTCAACGTGCCATCAACCCTCTCAACGTTTCATCAACCCTCTCAACGTTCCACCAACCTTCTCAACGTTCCATCAACCCTCTCAACGTTCCACCAACCTTCTCAACGTTCTACCAACCCTCTCAACGTTCCATCAACCTTCTCAACATTCCATCAACCTTCTCAACGTTCCATCAACCTTCTCAACGTTCCATCAACCCTCTCAACTTTCCATCAACCTTCTCAACGTTCCATCAACCTTCTCAACGTTCCATCAACCCTCTCAACGTTCCACAAACCCTCTCAACGTTCCACCAACCCTCTCAATGTTCCACCAACCTTCTCAACGTTCCATCAACCCTCTTAACGTTCCATCAACCCTCTCAACGTTCCATCAACCCTCTCAATGTTCCACCAACCTTCTCAAAGTTCCATCAACCATCTCAACGTTCCACCAACCCTCTCAACGTTCCATCAACCCTCTCAACGTTCCACCAACCTTTCTTTACGTTCCATCAATACTCTCAATGTTCCCAATGTGCCATCAACCTTCTCAACGTTCCATCAACCCTCTCAACGTTCCATCAACCTTTCACAACCTTCCATCAATATTCTCAATGTTCCAAGCGTGCCATCAACCCTCTCAACGTGCCATCAACCCTCTCAACGTTTCATCAACCCTCTCAACGTTCCATCAACCTTTCTCAACGTTCCATCAACCTTCTCAACGTTCCATCAATACTCTCAATGTTCCCAATGTGCTATCAACCTTCTCAACGTTCCATCAACCCTCTCAACGTTCCATAAACTTTTCACAACCTTCCATCAACCTTCTCAACGTTCCATCAATACTCTCAATGTTCCAAGCGTGCCACCAATCCTCTCAACGTTTCATCAACCCTCTCAACATTACATCAACCTTCTCAACGTTCCATCAACCCTCTTGACGTTCCATCAACATTATTCACGCCCCATCAACCTTCTCCACAAGCCATCAACCTTGTCCATGCCCCATCAACTAAATCTACGTTCCATAAACCCTCTACATGTCCCATCAACGTCAACCAACCAGGAACAAATGAACTCATAAAACGAACAAGTGTGTTTATTCGTCTGGAATTCTTGCATGACAAAGATTATAACTAATAACTAAGCTATACGGGGCGTAGCTAACCCTACCTTTGCTAGGTATGGAATCGTTTCATTGATATGAGGCATGTTAAGAGCTGTCATTGTATATATCTTCTTCACCTCAAGGCTGAATGTATTATTCACATGCTAATTTGAGAGTGTCGTCAATTTTATCTAACAGGACTAATGGTTTTTTTTGTGCACCTAGTCAAGTGACTTGTATATGCTTAACCAGGGCTAAGATGTGGGAATATGTTACAAGGAATATGCATAGGGAGGGGTGTAATACCTGGTTCCCTCATGTGATAAACATAATCCTTGAAATAGTGAAAATAGGATTATACATATTCTCTGAAGTGAATTTTTTGTCAGAATAGGTTTTGAATGGATGCAGTCGAACATGTTCTTCTGCCCCTTTTTACGAACACCTGGTGTCGTCACTGATTTTTTAGTGATTCATATAATCTTCACCACTGCTTCTTTCACGCCCAATGGAATCTGTTTCGGCGGATAATCGAGACTGGTTATTCTCTGGCGTTGACGTTTTAAATTCAAGCTCTGTTTGACTGGTCTGCCAGTACCGTGCTAGCCTTCGTCTTCATAACCCATTCTCTTAATTCTTACCCCCACTCGTTGTCTTTACAACTGACACCCGGCAAGTAAAGGATAAGGCGGATAGGATCCCGAATACTGAAACTTGTAAATGTTGCCATGTAATTTGCTGAAAATAGTGCATGTTTATACACACTCATACTTGTACCTTTCTTAAACGTTATAGACTTCTCACAAATACTTCAATAAGGATAAGTGAGTGAAAAGTTTGATTTCTGGATCGTCAAAATGGGTAAGCGTGCCTGTGTTTCACGTGTGTTTAGACTAACATTTAGTCTCAGAAATAGTTATCCTTTTCAAAAATATATATCTACAAAATAAAACAAAATATCATCTAAATGGAGCCTAGATGACCCTTAATTTCCTTGATCCGAGGCAAACTAGACTTGCCAAATCATTCTAGACTTAAGTTGAACTCCTTTTTCAATTTATTCTGTAGGGCCTGGGAGACAGACCAAAAGTGATGTAAAGTGCCGGGTAAGCGTGTTTCTTGTATCTGACAAAAGTGATGTAAAGTGCCGGGTAAGCGTGTTTCTTGTATCTGACAAAAGTGATGTAAAGTGCCGGGTAAGCGTGTTTTGCTGCCTCACATCAGTGATGTGTAGTGCTGGGAAGGTGTGCTTCTGTGGCTCAAACTAGTGATGTAAAGCACTGGATAAGCGTGTTTCTTTTATCCGACAAAAGTGATGTAAAGTGCCGGGTAAGCGTGTTTTGCTGCCTCACATCAGTGATGTGTAGTGCTGGGAAGGTGTGCTTCTGTGGCTCAAATTAGTGATGTAAAGCACTGGATAAGCGTGTTTCTTGTATCTGACAAAAGTGATGTAAAGTGATGGGTACGCGTTTTTCTTTGTTTCACATAGGCAATGTAAAGTGCTGAGTAAGCATGTTTCTGTGTCTCACATAACTGATGAAAGTAATGGGTAAGCGTGTTTGGGTGTCTCACATACGTGATGTAAAGTGATGGGTAAGCGTGTTTGGGTGTCTCACATACGTGATGTAAAGTGATGGGTAAGCGTGTTTGGGTGTCTCACATACGTGATGTAAAGTGATGGGTAAGCGTGTTTGGGTGTCTCACATAACTGATGAAAGTAATGGGTAAGCGTGTTTGGGTGTCTCACATACGTGATGTAAAGTGATGGGTAAGCGTGTTTGGGTGTCTCACATACGTGATGTAAAGTGATGGGTAAGCGTGTTTGGGTGTCTCACATAACTGATGAAAGTAATGGGTAAGCGTGTTTGGGTGTCTCACATACGTGATGTAAAGTGATGGGTAAGCGTGTTTGTGTGTCTCACATACGTGATGTAAAGTGATGGGTAAGCTTGTTTGGGTGTCTCACATACGTGATGTAAAGTGATGGGTAAGCGTGTTTGGGTGTCTCACATACGTGATGTAAAGTGATGGGTAAGCGTGTTTGTGTGTCTCACATGCGTGATGTAAAGTGAAGGGTAAGCCTGTTTCTGTGGCTCAAATAAGTGATGTAAAACACTGGATAAGCGTGTTTGTGTGTATGACATAAGTGATGTAAAGTGCTGAGTAAGCGTGTTTATGTGTCTCACATAAATGATGTATAGTGCTAGGTAAGCGTGTTTCAAATGTCAATTTCGAGTGAATCAGGCATTACACATCAGCCCTGATACTTCCAGAGATTAGGCCCTGAGTATACGTATTCCCTGTAACATATATACATTACCAGGACATGGACTATTTTACTCCTTTGGTTTTATATGACGGAGGACTTAATTCAAACATTAATCTACGGAGTATATACTCTTTAGGCACACGTGCGTCTGATTTCTCACAATATTCGTCTATATTCTAATAGTATTTTTCTATATTCTAACAGTATTTGTCTATGTTCTTACACTACTTGTCTATAGCTTTACAATACTCGTCTATATTCTCACAGTATCCGTTTATATTTTTACAGTACTCGTCAATATTCTTACAATATTTATCTATATTCAAACAATTGTCGTCAGTATCTACTTATCTATACTCTCACAGTACACAACTATATTCTCACAGTGTTACATAGCGCACAAAGGACACAGCGACAGAGATATATCTAAATATGAATCATTTTTGTAATATTTACATACATATTTGAAAACATTCAAGACATGAAATACACAGGCATCCAAGCACGTGCATCTACACACGAGATCCGACAGACGTCTCGATATATGATGTCCTGTAATAGGGTACCATTTGACTATTATATCGGTTACCTAGCTAGACATCGGATAACCGATTCGAAAAAGAATCTTAATTACAACAGTTTCAATGTCCGCGACGACAGAGGTTGAACACGGTATTCCTAGTGGCAGCATGCCTACTTCTAACAAATCGTTACGTTTACAACCGATAACGTCATAAGGTTATAACGTTGTCTCCCCATTGACATTAGGACGTCACAATACTGTCTCTTCATGGTGACATTACAATATCCCAACATCGTCTCACCATGTCGACGTTATTACGTTATTACATTGTCTCACCATGTCGACGTTATTATGTCATAACATTGTCTCACCATGTCGACGTTTTTACGTTATTACATTTTCTCACCATGTCGACGTTATTATGTCATTATATTGTCTCCCCATGTCGACGTTTTTACGTCATTATATTGTCTCATCATGTCGACGTTATTGCATCATTACATTGTCTCACCATGTCGACGTTATTACGTCATTACATTGTCTCACCATGTCGACGTTATTACGTCATTACATTGTCTCTCCATCGTGACCCTATAACGCCACACCATTGTCTCACCATAGCAATATTAATATTTTGTCATTCAGTGTAATATCATGATGGCGTCTTACCCTTGCCTCACCATGAAGCGTAATATCAGTTGTTGTGACGAGAAACATCTTCACCAAACCAGCACTGTTATATATTAGTTCATATATCTCTCCGATATATCTTATATGATATTGGCTATATGGGCGCTATCATAGTTACGTAGAATATATTTCCACATGGACCTTATTATTATAGTTATGTAGGATATATTTCCACACTGAACTTATTATCATTAGCGTAGGATATACACCACCAAGCTAATCCGTTATAATAATTGCATACGATAAAGAGAAGACAAAGATAATAATTTATGACCAGGCGTTTCAGAAGGAGAAGCATATAAAATGGATTAGTTCCATAAGTCAAATATGTAATGTTAAAGAAGGTTGGTTTTACTTGTTATACGGGGGTTGATTGAGAAGTTCTGAGCTCCACCTAGACGACGAGGAAGAGTGAAGGCTTTTGTGGTGGACCTTTCGTGATATCATAGAGGTATATACCAAAACACCTGAGACAATTGAGCAAATTGTTTCTATGTGACAAATCAGTAGAAAAGGAGGTCTGTGAAGTTTGGAAAATGGACAAACTGGAGGAACGTGTGCAGTGATCAAGTACTAGCAGAAAAATAGCTCAACACCAAAAGCCATCCACGGAGATACGACTATAACACTGTGAAGGATGCCCCTTCCTCTGTCACCGTAAAGAGGTGGGTAGCACCAGAGAACAGAACTTATAAATCAACCCTCGAATGGTATTATATCAATAGCAACTGTCTGAACTAACTTGAGATTGCCAGATTACGGTAAAGTACGACATCCAAAGCACACCAAGGCTTGCCGAGTTTACTTGTATTATCGTACTGGATATAAAGGAAGCTCCTGTCAGGCACGAAGCCATGTTTATATAAACGGAGAGCAAAGGGAACTGTCCGTCTCAGTTGATTTTATCATATGTTTGATTTTCAATTGAAAATATCTTAAGTTAGCGATATTATATCCAAAAATAAACTTTCCTGGTGCTTCGTCAGCACTAAAAGAAGTTTCTACATGGTTTAATTTTTTAACTTTTAAATAAAATACACAACTGCTAATGGGTATCTCAGACATCGTATCTTTGAAAATCATTTCAAACATGATAGGAGTCATGTGGTTGCAAATTCATGTCTTACTCCAGTCTTCATTGAACAAATTTATGTTTATACCAAATTCCCCAGCCACAGATTACGTTTTACAGTTTTACAAAGAGTTGAAGGAATGAGTGGATGCAAAATAGTAGACATAATCAAATTTTACAACAGTTATTTCAATTTTCAATTATATATTTAAAAAAAACATCGGTATATTTCCTTTTGCCCGCCAGTTTAGACGCTACCACCAGAGATATTAAGATGGACAGGTTTCCGAACTGACGGTGTTTGGACTTCCGGGTTTCGCTACATCAGATATATCAAGTACAACGTAGTGTATACACTTGCAGTGAAGATAAAGCACACCCATACATCTATCAGTATACAAGCAGTATGTC